CGTTGCAAGATTTAAAAAGATCAAATACAGTAGTAGACACAGGACTTGGCACTCAGGAAACATATAGGAGTGTTAAATATTATTGTTAATATCTCTAAAATTACTCCAAGGGTGGTAGAGTCTGCCCATTGCCCACTTCCATATCCATTCTGCATGTGATCTAGAGGTCAAAAGCTTGCTGCTGTTACCACGAGTACCACCACAACTGTCTCTCACAGTCGAAAAACTAGTTAGGAAAACTGACTCCAGGCATTATGAATGGATGGAAACCTTTCACATCTCAGCCAGCCAATCTGCCAGCAACAACAGCAGCAGGAACACATCTTTCATTTCACATTCACCTTCTGATTTTTACATATGATTGTATCAGAGCCAAATTTGCATCCTGAACACACACTGTAACAGGGTCCAGGAAATGATTTAGCTCCTTGATCTCTCCAACTAGGAGGAGGACAAAACCAAGTTTGGGAAAGCCAATCCATAATATCTACCACAAAATTCATTGAGATGCCACTGCTTCAAGTTGTTCCTGAATTTTTCCTAGCTGAAAGTAATTGTCCTTCCTCCTCCTTTAAGCTGGTGGTTTTCAACTGACATTGGACTTTAGAAATACTTGAAAACTGAAAAGTACTTATTTTTAGTGCACTCGAATCTATTTGGTGTGAGGTAGGGGTGTACCTTGGACATTTTTTTTTTTTTTTTTTGACACAGAGTTTCACTCGTGTTGCCTAGGCTGGAGTGCAATGGCACAATCTCAGCTCACCACAACCTCTGCCTCCTGGGTTCAAGGAGTTCTCCTGCCTCAGCCTCTCAAGTAGCTGGGATTACAGGCATGAGCAACCACACCTGGCTAATTTTGTATTTTTAGTAGAGACGGGGTTTCTCCATGTTGGTCGGGCTGTTCTTGAACTCCCGACCTCAGGTGATCCGCCCACCTCAGCCTTCCAAAATGCTGCAATTACAGATGTGAGCCACTGTGCCATCCCACCTTGGACATTTTTAAAATTCTAATGTGTACCCAATGTTTAGAACTACTGTTCTAAAACTTATAACCTTTCATTTATTCTCATCACTTCCTAACTTTTGTTTAGAGATATGAAACGTCCTTACTCTTCCTGCTAGATCATAAGCTCTCTGCAGACAAGTTGTAAGTCTAATCTTTTTATATCCTTTACAATTTGTAGCAGATTACTTTGCAAATGACATGTATTTTACATGTTTTTCAAGTGTATGAATAAATAGATGGTGAATGATGCCTTGCAAACAATAGTATATTAAAGTTACCATGCATGGCACCTAGTCCTTGCCTTTCTCCCACTTGAAATGTTCTCAAGTATACTTCTTGTGAATCTATTCATTCTGCATAACATAGTAAAAATGTTAAGTGTATATATTGCTCATAGCCTTAACCTTCTCATTAATAACTCACCATAAAATATAACTTAACACAAAATTATCCTGGTTTAGAAAATAGCACCTAAGAAATAACATTCTCAGCTAGAAAGCTATTACCAATGAACTTACATCTTTTTAGGGAGAAACCTAAAATCTCTAGGAGGGAAACAAAAAAACAAAGCCAAGTCCATTCATACCGCTGAATTTCTGAGCTACTCATCTGTCTTCATTATCTTCTTTGATATATCAGTGCACCTCTAAATAAATCTTCTAAAATCCCAATATGCAAAGATAAAAATTCTGGGCTTAAACATTGTGTTAGTTGCTAGATAACTTTGAAAGAAGTTTACAAGAATGTCTAAGTGATACATTCCAAATTAAAATGACTAGCACTGCTGAGTTCACATCTAGAAAAGTTGAATGCTAACCAATTGGGGTACATGAATAATGCTTGCAGCTCATAATTAAGAATAGCTTTGCTTGAGGATTTTTAATCTTTGAAAGCAAAAATTTCCCAATATCTTCGTCAAATTAGCCCTCAGGTGGGGATTCCTGAGACAAAAATCACATAGTCCTCATCCTCTTTCCTACAGCTTTACCTGTTAGGGAATGATTAAAAACAAGCTATTTGGTTTGCTCTTCTGAACACAGAATTTTAAAATATTAACATTAGTGATAAAGAAGAGGAAAAGGTACAGAATAAGGTTTTAAAAAGCATAAGATAATAAAAAGTGGTCAGACTGGAAAAATTAAATCTTACCTGTTCTGCCTGGCCCACTCCAGTTAGAACTACTTGCATTCAAGGTTCAGATCACTTCAGAAAGCTTTAAAGTTTCAAGATCCTTCTTCATTCTGAAGGTACCCAGGTGAAATCTGTTCTCAAGACTCACCATTTCCCATCTCTAAATGAGCTCCTGTGCCATTCTCTCACTTGTCTTTTCCCTTTCTCGATAAACAGTTTGATCCTTCCTTCCTTCCTTTTTTTCTTCCTTTCTTCCTTCCAACATTCCTTTCTTCCTAACAGATTTCCAACAGCATAACTTCCTTAAGATCTTCCTAGAAAGGTCTGTCTTCACTCTCCTTTCTATCCTAATAGTTCTCTAAAGACTCTATATGGTTCTAATAGAATATGTATCACTTATATAGTTATAATGCCTCTATTTTTAAAAAGCTATTTGGATGTATTCAAAGATCAATGGTTAAATGACAGACTTCATGAAAATGAGGAATAAATTTCTTAGTGTATTTTTTCTAACCAAGACAAAGAGAGTAAACATTCAGTTTGTTCTTCTACCTCAAATTACATTCACTATTACTAATATAGGAGCTATTCTAAGAGAATCTAGACTTCTTGAGGGACAGGGAGTTCAAATAACTGAGTAAATATTCAAGAAATGTTGACCTGGACCAAATGCCTTCTCCCACTATATAGTTCTACAAGTGTAAAATCACAAGGTTTTGAGATATTAGACTGATTCTGTTCTCACCCTACCCAACTTCCTCGATATTGGTTTTACAGAATGGAATTGAACAAGAAGTAAATTTCTTATTTTAAAAATTAAGAAATATGATCTATATTGTAGGGCATTTTCTGCCAGGCCCATTACGTAGTTAGGACTAGGATGAGAGAAGGACCATCTTGTCTTGTATTTAGACTTCATGATCTGATCACTAAATGAGTTACAGGTATTTTGATATTGTCATGTTTAAAGTGTCATTTAAAATAAACAATTGAAATATTATCAGTTTTCTAATCTCTTTTGGTTTTTTCTTTATTTTATAATTCACTAAAAGTGTCACAAAATGGCAGTAGCCTGGCAGTTTCTAACCCCTGAGACGCCATGTTTCATGATATTATTATATACATCTAAAACTAAAATAAATATTAATAATCAAAGGAGGGAACCCATTTCATCATTAAAGGTACATATTTAATTTCTGTGAAGTGATAAACACTTGATTGCTATAAATGTGAATAAAACTTTTATTTTTAAACTTTTCAAGGGAATTAGGTCTATTTTCCTGCTGTTTGAAGCCTTCGGTAACACCCCAAGTGTGTTTGTATTCACTAGGAAAGGACATTTCTGTGGAATTAATTAAATGGAGAATTCAGTGTTCCTGGTAGATCATTTTGGCCATGTTCCATTGCAAACTTTCTAGTCTACATTTCGTCTTTCCTGATAAAAGATCCACATGTTCCAAATCCCTCAGTCTTTTCTCTACTTATTAGTGAAGAACAATATAGCAAAACTGCTATGTACAGAATTAATAATGATGTGCATTCAGCAAGTCTCTCTGCTGGGAACTTCATCACTAGAATAAAGCAAAATGCAATAGAATAACAGTTCAAATGTAGTCAGTACAAACTAGTATCAAAAATGCTGTTGTATCATCATAGTTAATAGTTCCTTCGATTTTGCTAAAACTAACAAAAATTCCTGTGGGGGGAGAATTAGAAAATATTAAAAGCTCCTAATATAGTCCAGTAAATCCTGAGATGACAGATCTCATTTTCCAAGGAAAATCGGTGCTACTATTTTGGTAACAACAAAAATTCATGTTCAATGCCTAATTAAAACCTTTTGAAATCTATACGCTTTGCCTCTTAATGGCGTTCCATATTTACAAAACAATCAGAATCCTTATCTGTCACTGGCTTTATGTTTCATGTCAGCTTTTTTATTCATCTTACAGAATGAATTTTGCCTTACAGATAAATTCTAGCTATTTTATTTATAGCCATAATGGAATAGCTGCTGCTGTTATTTATGCTATATACATGTTACTTTGGCCCTAAAGCCTGAAGGAACCGATGGTTGTTTCCTGCCACTGATGATTTCACCTGCACTTCTGTATCTGGGCAACTGCTCAACAGTATTCACAAAGGTCTAGCACTTGGTCTGAATCCTGCCTGCTGAGGAGTTTTATTTGGCCACCTTGGTAAAGGACATTTAAATGAAGAAATCTAAAGCTAGCAGAGAACAGAGATTTTGCAGTCATCAGCACATTTGGGGTGGTGGAAGCCACAGCTAAGGAGGGGATGGGGTACAGAAAGACCTTAGGGTTAATGTGCAGAGCCCTTATTAGGTATTCAGTAAAGACTTGAGGAGTAAAAGAATGGACTAGAAAATGACAATGTACTGATTATTAATTTATATTTGAGTAAGAAAGGCTGTTATTTACATCAAAACCTGCCTCTAGAATTTTCCAGCAAGAAAATAAGTGACGACAGTTAGTTAAAAGCCCTAGCAACAGTGCATATTTACGTCCTTGAGGTGAAACCATCCTTCAACAAATAACATATTCTCATTGAATTCCACATTAGCGTATGATAAACACAAGATGTTTTTCATAATCTAGCTGCAGGTTTTATGCTTTTTTTTTTTTTTTAAGCAAAACACACAGGAACTGCCAAGATGGGAGAGTAACCTTTCCTAAATCACTCCAAATGTCACCATGACCATAAGCATAATTTTCTAAGTTGGTGAATTTTTGCTTAAGAAAATATAAATTCATTCAATTGCTTCACTCACATTACGGTTCCATCATTTATCCTATAAACAAAATTCTGCTATTATATACATGAATCACTTTGTCATTCACAGGATCAAACCGAAATGACAACTGCTCAATTTTACTGTCAATATTGCACAGCATCACTTCTTGGGAAGAAATATGTGCTAAAAGATGACAGTCCATACTGTGTTTTATGTTATGATCGTATATTTTCTAACTACTGTGAGGCATGCAAAAAACCAATTGAATCCGATTCTAAGGTAAGTTTCACCCCAATTTACAGAATTACTGCATATGGACAGCAAACAATTGGGTTGGAATGCCTCTTTTCATTTAGTGTTTACTTTCAACACTATTTCCCTGCTACTGGATATATAAGGATCTTAAAAGTCACCAGCAGTCAAGCTCCAGCCACTACACTTAGCACTATGAAATACAACATATGCTTAATTCTCACATGATCTAATGAGGTAGCTGAGAATGCTAAAGATTAAAGAGGTTACATTATTTGTCCAAAGTTACACAGCAAAAATTTTTCTGCTGTTTCCAAGCCCTCAGTAACCCTCTGGTGTGTGTTTATTATTTCCAGAATGACAAAGGTATAAATAAATGCATAAAGAATTGAAGTTGTAAGGATTCAAAATCTGTTTTCTGACATAAAATCAGCTTCATTTCTACTTAACCCCATTGATACCTTTCACATCTACCACCCATTCCCCCAACATGCTCATTATTTTCTTTCTCTCTCTCTTTCTCTTTCTTTCCTTCCTTCTTTCCCTCCTCCAATTTTCTTTCTCTCTCTTTTTCTTTTTGTTTCTTTTCTTTCTTTATGCCTTTGCTTTACTTAGATGATGTTATTTTTTGTTTGTTTCTTTAGTTCAGTCTTAAAGAGTAATAGAATATTACAACCTAAAATTTTAAAAAATCATTCCATGAAAAACCTCTGTTGTAGTTTATAACAAGAATGTAGGCAAACTTTGAAGACATAGCAGAGAATTCATTTGTTTTTTTACCAATTGCCTTAAGTGACCCGCCAAGAAAGCCCTGGGCTCTCGCTCTTAATTACCCCAGAGAGTCTCCTCTCCATGGGTAACAGTTTCAGTAACAACTTTCCCTCAAGCTACTAGCACAACCTACTGACATGAGAGTCCCAGGAGTGTTCAGTTTTGTCTTATAAAATGGACTGTTTTGTCACAGCCACATTTAATTAACTTTTATTTACTGTCTCAAAGGATCTTTGTTACAAAGACCGGCACTGGCATGAAGGATGCTTCAAGTGCACCAAATGCAATCACTCTTTGGTGGAAAAGCCTTTTGCTGCCAAGGATGAGCGCCTGCTGTGCACGGAGTGCTATTCTAATGAGTGCTCCTCCAAGTGCTTCCACTGCAAGAGGACCATCATGCCTGGTAGGATCTCAAGGGGGCTCCTGTCTCTAACTGAAGCTGTAATGCTTTTCATTAAGTCCTGGCACATGAGGAGTGTAGCAGGTCCCAAAACCCCGGTTTGGAGAAAGACATCTTTCTTCCTCTTTCAATCTCTTTCTTTAGAAATAAAAAGACTGTATTTTAGAAATAAAAAGATTGTTCATTCATTATCCTTGAACAGGTAACTTACAGTGTTCTATTTTCATCAAGTCTAATTTATACAAACATTTCAAACCAGAATTTCACCCATAAAATAAAGATAAAATTTATACTAATAACACTACATTAAACATCAATGGCATCAGAAAGAGTGATTCATCACAGGCGACTGGAGTCAACTGTGATTTTGTAGCTTAACACAAACTGGTTTAAGGATCAGTCATTGTTATTCTCTCTTAGGGAAGACAAGGTTCATGTATATCATTCCACTTTTGGCAAGGACTAATTCTTTATATTTTGATCTTCTTCTCAATCTCTAGGGACAGCAGCATAAGGAGATAATTCATTCTCGCTGTCTCACTCTTGCTCTCTCATTTTCTTATTATGGATTCAAAGAATTTTTAGAAGGCCATAATTGTACAACATAATCTCAGTAGTTGTGCTGCAGGCATTTTTAATACCCCTATAATGATTATTATGGTCCAATTTATCCAAACCATGTGCAACCATTAGGAGTCTTCATTCAAAGTACTTTTATATCTCCAGATTATAGGTTATGCAGGGCTTGAAAGAGTTTTCAGTCTAAGGGTGATTCTCCATCATCATGGCTGAATTTTATTAACCTTTTCCTTTCCCCCACATGAATGGGTTTTTTTGAACCTGAAAAAATACTTTTCTAAAAGGACAATTCATTTATCATCTTAACTTAGAATTTAAGTAATTTGATCTGTATTTGCTTAATAAAAATTACACTTCACTTATACTAACAGGTCCTTACTTTTGGAGCACAGGTTCCCGCAAAATGGAATTTAAGGGAAACTACTGGCATGAAACCTGCTTTGTGTGTGACAATTGCCAACAACCTATAGGAACAAAGCCTTTGATCTCCAAAGAGAGTGGCAATTATTGTGTGCCGTGTTTTGAGAAGGAGTTTGCTCACTACTGCAACTTTTGTAAGAAGGTAATTTTCTAAAGAGGGTGAAGCTTGTGGAAACTCAGACTATTCCTTTTTAGCTGTACCATATATTTGGAACGAACTGATACTATTATGTTATACACACTCATGGTACTTTTGACTTTCAACATGTACAAACCACTAGTTGTCATGATGAGGATGACCATCTTTTTTTATTAGGCATAAAATTCCAGTCAAACAAGAAGTTAATATTTCAAACAGCTTAAGTGCTCAAGTGATTTGGTATTCCAGTTCCATTCACTGCCTTTTTTTTTGAGATGGAGTCTCACTCTGCCACCCAGGCTGGAGTGCAGTGGCACAATCTCAGCTCACTGCAACCTCTGCCTCCCAGGTTCAAGCGATTCTCGTGCCTCAGCCTTCAGAGTAGCTGGGATTACAGGCGCACGCCACGCCACTGTGGCCAGCTAATTTTTGTATTTTTAGTAGATATACAAATGGGCTTAAGAGTTCTGCTAAAGTAGCCCATAGATAAATTAATCCCATTTGGGGTTTCACCATGTTGGCCACACTGGTCTTGAACTCCTGACCTCAGGTGATCTACCTGGCTTCCCAAAGTGCTAGGATTACAGGCTTCAGCCACCATGCCCAGTCCATTAACTGCTTTTATACAAGATCTCATGTATTCTGGGAGAGAGTACAGGTCTCTCATTTAATACACATGTTTCTTAAAAAATAATTTTTGATCCATTCAGTATTAACTGTTTCAGAGCAATATAGATTTGCCTCCCAAAGTGACTGAGGGAACCAAGTTAAACAGGATGTTTGGCATTCTTTCTCAGCAGTGCAAATATCTTCTCGACTTGAAGGTTTTGTATTTCCTAAGAGTACAGCAATTAGTTCAAGGGAGCGCCAAGATCATGAGGGAAGTCCAGGAGACACAAGACAGAAAGAAGTCTAAGAGCTGCAAGTTCCTTCTCCAGTACCAGGATCATGCAGGGCCTTCTAACTGGGCTTCCCACTCAAAACACATTTTCTAAGAGAGAAAAAAGTAATTTTTTAGAAGTAAACTTCATCCAATTCTTTTTTTATCCTCTAAGCTTTTATGTGAAAAAGTAGCTGTAACACCTTGATAAAGCCTGTCTGTATTCCACAAATATATATGGATGTTCTCAAAGAAATCCTTGACCTGTGAAGCATCATAAGTTTAAAATGACACCATAAATTGAAATGAGAAAGCTGAATCAGGAAAACACACTGTATTAGTGTAGTAGTTTCTAAATATTTTTTTTTATCTATGGGCTACTTTGGTAGAACTTTTAAGCCCATTTCTATATCTGGACAGCTGGAAGTCACACTACCACTTTCTACACATGCATATGTGAACAAACATGCACATACACACACATACACAGTAATTTTTTAACATACATAACCAATACCAATCCTGCATTTAAAGAGGCAACAATACACTATGCTATATCATAACTATTAAGGTACACTATATTAATGGCTGAGAATTACAATTGATCACAATATGACATAAAATAATCTTATGACTGAGACCTTCATTATTCTACCAAAACACTGGCTTAGAAAATGACTTTACAAGCAGCAAACTATATGACCATATGTCTCCAAAGAATTACCAGAGTCAATGACAGCATTTAAAAACATACTGGAGGCTGGGCATGGTGGCTCACATCTGTAATCACAGCACTTTGTGAAGCCGAGGTGGGAAGATTGCCTCAAGCCAGGAGTTCAAGACCAGCCTAGGCAACATAGTGAGACCCTGTCTCAAAAAAAAAAAAAAGTTTAAAAATTAGCCAAGTGTGGTGACACGTGCCTGTAGTCCCAGCTACTGGTAAGACTGAGTCAGGAGGATCACTTGAGCCCAGAAGTTCAAGGCTGCAGTGAGCTATGATTGAGCCACTGCACTCCAGCCTGGGTGACAATGAGATCCTATCTCTAAAAATATATACAAAAATTAAAAATTAAAGGAATTAAAATCATGCTGGAAATAAAATGAATAGGTTTATCTCACTGTTTTGAGAGACAACTGAGTTGGCCAATTTTAGGCTTCATTTCTTGAAGACTTAGACCAAAACAGTAATGAAATTTGTAAGAATTACCTTAAAATCATTTATTGGACACAATATAAATTCTCTTTCAATGCTATAAAAATTCAGGAGTGAAACTTCTTTAGTACATCCATGCTTAGAACTGTCTGGGCCAAGTGCTGGTGTTTCCCAGGTTTTAGGAACCTGTAACTATATTTAGGATATGATTTGAAGTCATCAAAAATTTACAAAATATTTATATTGGGTAGTAGACAGATTGTGTCATACCAGATTGTTTTTTATTTAGTTTTTAAAACCACAAGTCCTTTTATAAAAAGCTAGATATGTTTTGATCAAGATGATCCAATCTAAACAATTTTTTCAACCCAAAGCAAAGACCAAATTTTTTCTTTAAAAAAAAGGAAAAACTACTTGACAACCAGGCCCTTAGAACTTTTAAGCTTTAAAGTCCATAGATTTTATTTTATTACACTAAGATTTATTTTCTGCCAGAAAGAAAATGACTTCAAACTACAAATGCTTCAAATTCAAATTCCTCAAGTTTCAAAAAGAGTTAAATGTCTTCTTTGATTCTTCATCTGTCACCCGCTGAGTGCAAAATCATTATTGCCTCCGCTTTTTCAGAGAAGAAACTTTTTCTAAAACCTGGGATCAATCAGTGGTGAAAACCAAGCTCAGATATTGGACTTCATCTTAACCTTCCTACCTCTTCAAAAGGAATATAATCACAAACTATTTTTAATGTTCCAGAGTTTCTTCCTCTAATTAAACAGTCTTTGGTGTATATATCAAGTTTTATTTTGCTGTGAATACATTTTTCAAGTTTTGAATCTTTTAAGCATTGCCTGCTAATACTTAGACCAAACAAATCAAAGGAATCATGAATTCTGCTGTGTCTGCTGCAAGGCATTTGAAGTCAGTAGGGGGTATTTTAAATTGCTTTACTTCCATCACACCATTATGCTTCCCATTTACTTGTTCAGAATAGTATGCTTTTTTCCTCTAGGAAAATAATCTTTTATATCAAACATCTTTAATTTCTAAGATATTTGTTATAAGATTAAAAATACCTTTAGAATTTTTTTTCACAAGTCTATATTACAGACAAATAACATTTCTGAGTTTGTAAAGAAGGAAGTGACTTAAAATAGGCTCTGTGTTTTTACTATCTAGTTAATTTGATACAAAGTTTATAGGAACCACCTCAGATATCCCATTGCTTCATTATAAAACATTTAGAAAAACACACTTCAGTGTCTACAGCAACTCCAATAGCTCATTAGCTGTGAATTCAAAATGTGATATGGCTTAAAAATAGTTACACGAGAAGAATTGCCCAATATTTATCCATCTGAATCTGCATAAAGATTTTTCAGCCTTTTAAAAGGTAGAATTCATGGATTAAACTAGTTTAGAAAAAAAAAATAATATTATGAAAAATTAATTACATCTCTGACAAAATGCTTCACATCACATGTTAAGGCTCAATGTACAACCAGTGCTCATTCCATTGAGTTCTGATTCCCACAGCACCCCATTTCTAGATACAATACTGGAATTGCTTTCCAGCTATTTTTTCCTTTGGTATTTATTCATTAATTCAACAAGGATTTATCAGCTGCTTATCTGTGCAAGATAACCTTGACTCAGTATGGTATTAATGGTGAAGCACACAGGCTATGGAGTCAGACCATGCAGGTTTGAATCCTAGCTCACCGTGGCCATGGCAAGTAACTTAATGACTGTAAGGCTCAGTAGTTGCTCATCTGAAAAGAGGGAAAGATAATAGTCTCTATTATGTAGAGCTGTTGAGACTATTTAGAAGAGGTCATCCTTTGCATGGTGCTAAGGACTGAAAAAACACTTAGGAAATGGTAGTTATTATTAGCAAATAACGGCGCTTGCCAATTCCATTCAGAGTCACCAATATAGCCCTGCCTCTGTTCTATTTCATTGTAGGAGAAAAATATACAGTAACTTTCATTTCTTTCTACTTCTAGCTCATTCCTATAGCCTTTGGTTTCTCATATTATTATTTCCTTTATTTTAAAGATGTTTTTTAGGAAAGGAACATCCTAACATGAGGTGAAAATAGAGCAGCTGGAAGCACCAGCTGTGGACATAGAAGACATAAAATGATCACTTTTTATTTTTGCTTCCTTTTCCCCTCAGAGATACTAGAATCTAAAGAGAATCATGAAGTGATCTGAATTGTAATGGCTCCCATGGTCATTGCCTTTTCTGTGGTCTTTGGCAGGTGATAACTTCAGGTGGGATAACATTTTGTGACCAGCTATGGCATAAAGAGTGTTTTCTGTGTAGTGGCTGTAGGAAAGATCTCTGTGAAGAACAGTTTATGTCCAGAGACGACTATCCATTCTGTGTGGACTGCTACAACCATCTTTATGCTAACAAGTGTGTAGCCTGTTCCAAACCCATTACTGGTGAGTTCTCTAGTTCAATATGATCATGCCATGAAACAGTTATGGCTATATAAGATGCTATCTAGTTAATTTAGGAAATGCAAGTAAAAGATGGGAAGCTTTCATTTATGTTTCCTTTTGAGATAAACACAAGTGGGTGCCTATATATGAATACAAATGTTACATGGATTCCTCAAGGAAAGTACAAGAGTATACTTTGGTAGCCTGCACTCTGCGAAGGTAACTATATACTAAACCTAATGGTACCGACTCTAAGTAAAATAACAGTTTAAAGAAGCAGGAGATGGGAGGGTAAGATGGGAGGTGAGCACAGACTTTCACAAGGAGGCTTGCTTGAAGCCTCATTAAGATTTGAGTGGGAGGAAAGAGTACTAATAAATCAGAATCCTGCTTAATTCCAAAATAGGGCCAAGCATCCTTTAGTTAGGAAGGTTTTAATTAAATTCCACTATTGTCTAGAACATCTGAAGCTGTAATAATTAAGGTAGCATAGGTCAGTAATTAATTAAACTTTATTTGAAGATGCTTCTAACAAATGTATTACTCTCTTTTCTCTATATTCACTTGCAATTATGAAGTGCATTAATGAGTAGATGAAAGAAAACAAGATGGCATTTTACTAAAGAAAAAATGTAACATGATTTGAAAATAACGTAATGATAAATCGATCCATGTTAAAGAGGTTTTCAAGGTAAAAAAAAAAATACATCTTTTCCTCAGAGATACCTTTAAAATGCTAATCCTATAATAAAGGAACTGAAATTAGCATGACACTTGAGAGGCCCAGCAGCTATTCTTTCTGGCAATTTATAGTCACTTAACAATGTGTCAGAACTGTATATCTACTTTCTATCCCTAGTATTCTTAGATCATATTTCAATTTTTAGTTCAGTTTATATACCGCAGAATTAAAGATTATTTTATCCCTTTCCTCCTTCATCTTCATATGTGTAACAAAATAAAAGATGAATCTTCATGCACTTTCTGACGAAGAAAGAGTTTGACAGCAAACCCCACATTGGCAGGTTTTCACTGACTTGCAAGGGGAGGGAGGGTGTCACCAGAACAAACAGCATGGTCTTATTTGTCTATATGAAGCACCATGTGTGTCAGGATCACACTGGCCCACGAGCTACATCTGGCCAGCAGACAGGTGATGTTTGGCCTGAACATGTTTGGAAATAACTAATGCAAAATTAATCTCTGCCGCTAAAAGTAGAGGAATAGCCTGCCATTGGGTGAGCAGACTGTCTCTACATTCCCCAGCAGGGTCACCATCATACGAAGCTAGTGGCTGTCCCATTGCATGGGGCATGTCCTCTCTGTTCCTCGCACCCTGTCTGCTTCTCTCAGCTAGGTTACCTCTCTGGCCCTTGCAAGGACTTGCCATAGCAATCCCACACCACTGGGCTCCAGGGTCCACGTAGTATGAAGGTAACTACATACTAAACCATATTAAACCTAATGGTTTAGTATGTAGGTTAGCTTTTAACTACCCTGCTCTCCTGCATTCTACACATTTAGCAATTCCTGTAGCCAAGAGAATAAGCCACTATCTCCACTGATTTTAGTTAGAAAATGGAACTTTCAGATATCCAACAGTACGCAGCTCCAGAATCTCCCTAGTAAAATCTGCAGTTGCAGTCCATTTATTTGACAACAATCCTTTTCTTGAACTGGGACAGCAAAAAAAAAAAAAGGGTATGTCAGTGAGAAAATGAGGAAATTAACAACTCAAAATAGGTTTCAAAATTCTCTGGAGATCCAGATAGCTAATACTGATCTGCAAAAAGCCTACACAAGCCCTGAACTTGAGTTTCAATTCTGATATATCACAGATCCATAGGTCTAAGTGATTTTTCTCATAGATTGTTCCAGATCAATCACTGAGCACAGCTTTTTAAAGTTCAGATGGAAAAACAATGTTGTTCTGCACAAAAATATGAGGATGATCAAGAGAAAATGATCAGACCCAAAATTAATCCAAATGCAATATTATATATTAAATTTAGACTCATCAATCCACAGGAAATGTCTCAAAACTATTATAATCTTTTTTTAAACTTTTTGATTGAGACACCAGAGACTGAAATACCTGCAAAAACTTACAACTCAATTTAATATTTCTTGGTCTAATTGTTAAACATCTATAGGCACTGCAGTACTGTTTCTTTAAAATTGAGCTAGCTGAACTGATGTACCATTGGGAATTCTGATATTGTCACATATCTTCAGAAAATTGGCATTCATCTGATTATTATGTCACTTTAAGAAGCTAGGTATTCTTGATCAAAGGATACAAAATTTCAGCTAAACAGGATAAATAATTTCAAGAGACCTATTGTCCAACATAGTGACTATAGTTAATGCATTATACACTTGAAAATGGCTAATAGATTTTAAATGTTCTCACCACATACAAAGAAAAGTATATGATAAGGTAACAGATATGTTAATTGCCTTGATTTGGCCATTCCACAATGTATACATACACAAAAACCACATGGTATATAATTTTTATTTGTCAATTAAAATTAAACAATTTTTTAAAGCTCTGAAAAATCTATTTATAAATCACCAAGTGTAATTTTTAAAACCCATCACAATGAACTTGCTTCATTTGAACAAACTCCAGGTATAACCTTCACATTTTTTCCTCCTTTAAGATGGGATTAACCTCTTAAACTATCAGGGATAAATGAAGCAGCTTGATGCAATGAAAAGTGCTCTGGACTGAGGAGCAAAAGACTTGGTCCTCCCTGCCCCCAACCGCTGTGTCACCGCGGGTGACTAACTCACCTCTGGGGGTGGGGGACTTCATTTGCCTTATTTATAAAACAAATGGTTAAGCCGGTTGGCTTTCTTCCATCTCTGTTTATTTCAAGGAAAAGGAATTAAAAATGTTGTGGTTTCTTCAGAGAGTAATGCTAGTGTTCCTGATCATGTCCTTTACCAAAGATAAACTCAAACTTAGTTTCATGAGGTTAAAAGCAGAGGCTCTAAAGCCAGATGGCCTGTGCTTAAATCTCAGATCTGCTTCCTAGCTGGGTGAGTTGGGGCAAGTGGTTAAACTTGTCATTTCTCATTTTTTGTCTGCAAAGTGGGGCTAATGCTAATATCTACCCCATGAAGGTAAGGTGAGGGCTATATATGGTAGCACATATGAAAGACTTAGAATAGTGATTGGCACATATTCAAGAACTCAACAAATGCCAGCTCTTATTCTACTGACTTGTCAGAAACCTATGAAACCCAATGAAACAGGTGCCAGAGACCTGCTTCGTGGATGGCTTTCTTACTGAAAATAACTCTCATGACCTAAGGGAGTAAACATATCCTTTTTGAAACAATTAACAAACTTCTCACATGTTGCTTCGGCCCTTTCTTAAAGTCCTGTTGCCAGTTGCTTCTACTTTTTCTCCTTTGTAAAAATCTGGAAGAAATGCTTTTATATTTGCCACTTGTACAAGGCTTACTAATAAAATTAAGAGAAACTCATGAGCATCAAAATGCTAGACATGTAATAATTAGTTTTATGAACAGGCATAATTTATGTATATACAGAGCATTACTCTTGCAGTCAGCTCATTAATGTTTTGAATAACATTGAGGGAATTAAGTAGTACATAATTAATTTACATTTATTAGGAAGTAATGTTGATAGCATCATAGATAAGTAAGCTATAAATTTAATCAAGGAAAGTAGAGGAATTTGATGCAAATTTGACTATGAACTGCTAAATTATATAGGAAGACATCAAACAAGTTTGTTAGGTTGGAAACAAAAGTTAATTATCATATTTAAGAACAGTGTATCTGAAATAGAGTGCTATTAACCCTTTCACTTCACCATTTCAAATGGAGTATTTTGAAATTACATGTGAATTATATCTCTTTTAGCCTCACACTATGGATGATAAGCAAATAATACCACTAAGATTACTGAAAGAAAACATGAAATAAATAAAGACCGAAGCCTAGGGCATCTCAACCTCTTCCCAAACCCTAGACATTTTCTTCTTTTATATAACTTCTCAAGATCAATTTCTTGAACTATACCCTGGAATCACATTAGGGAGGCAGAGATCAGACCTTCAATAAAGGTTCAAATTCTACTACTTTTTAAACAAACAGTATGGTTCAAGTGAGGTCCAATTAAAGTGGAGGAGGCTGACAAAGCACTTAGAAACCAATCACGTGGTTATCCACGTGGCCTCGGTGGCCAGATTCAACATAAGCTGCAGTTGTCTCTGAGCAAGGTAATAAAGCCATCACATCAGGATGTCTGAATGATTAGATAAAATCCTCCATTTGGGCTTTCTAGAAATAGTGTCCCAACCCATATGACCCCCAGATGTATTCTAAGTAAAACTAAGCACAAAAAAAATAAGGGAAGAGATGAAAACTAAAACTCATTACAACATCGGACATCAAGCTAGGATGTGTATATTGATTTTATTTTATTTTTATTTTGCAGCTAAGAAAACTTAAAGTCACATAGAGAAAAAGAAGAAATGTAGTCATACTTAGACATCTCTGACTCCACAACGCCTACCCTCTTCCCACTACACTACACTGTATTTTCTTACCTGACTTAGACAATCCTTATCTATGTGACTTGCATATCAACATGCTGCCTATTTCTGTAGATTATGGCAGAATTTGGCTGCAAATTTGGTTGGGTGGCACAGGCAGAATTTTCCTACAGCTGATAGTTCCAGGTGGACACAGAGCCAGGAAGCAGCATTCTTTCTTGGGTTACTTGTCTGGCTTATGGCTGTATCTCCAGTTCCTAGAGGAGAACCTGATAAAATGCTCAATCTATTCCTTGAAAAGATAAATCTTTTTCTCCAATTTTTTTTACAGGTCTCACAGGTGCCAAGTTTATCTGCTTTCAAGACAGCCAGTGGCATAGTGAATGTTTTAACTGTGGGAAGTGCTCTGTCTCTTTGGTGGGTAAAGGCTTCCTGACCCAGAACAAGGAAATCTTCTGCCCAAAATGTGGCTCTGGGATGGACACTGACATCTAGGGGAGTCCTTTCCCACCAAAAATCCACTTTGTCTTTGTTGTCACTAAAGCCAGAATTCAGTTGCAGTCTTATTTTTGACTTAAGTTTTAGAAAATATTAATGTAGTTTAGAGTGGAAGAGTTTTTGCACACATTTTAATCGAACTACATTCTAAGGGCACAAAAAAACACAGTAGAACAGAAATGAATATATGCTAAATCACAAAGACACCTCTCCTTGCAAAATACTGCACTCTGCTGTTAGAAATATAGGAAAATATCTCTTTATAATCACACATACAACCTATACCTAGGAACTGTGGATATAATTACTAAGAATGAGGTTTTTCATACCTGAAGAGTAAAAGAAAAACTAAGAGGTCAAGGTGAGAGGTATACATGAGACTAGTGTTTGCATTCCCGGTTATATGTAATGTGATAAATTAGCTATGAATGGTAAAAGAAAATTGATCAGAGCAAATTGATTAGCAAATATCACATTTAAGAATTATTATTTAAAAATCATTCTTTTATTGTTCACACATACTGACTTTAGAATTAAAAAACAAAAGCTACAATTTGCCCTCATACACACTGCTTCCACAGCTTGCTAGTTCCGTGTCAATGCAATATGAGAATTGACGACATTATGGCTCTCCTACTCTGCATAGGTATAAAGGGGACCATTTCTACCTAGGGATAGCCAAAGCTTGGGTTTCAACACATTTTGTATTAAATGTGTTTTCAAAGTCCACAACGATTTTTCTAAACGCTTACAGATTCCATGAAATAAAAGTCTATTCTTTCAAGTGGAGCTAACCAGGATAATCTTTGTCCCCAAAGGCAAACCTTTAAAATAAATAGATCATTAAATCATCACTTAAGGAAATGAGTTTTAGGGAAGGGATTGAGTGTTGGAACATGACTTTCATCCAGATATCTAAAGACATAATAGAATGCATAATTAGCTCTGTGCCTCATGCATTTTGCCTACTAAAATTACATAGATGATTAATAGGCAGGCATAAAAGTGGGCTTTAAGGAAATCTAACAATAATAAAAACTGAAAAAGAATAATTCACTGCTGATAATTCAGAACCTGCAAAGCAGCACAATAGAGTAATGTGGGCTGTAGAGGAGCCCTCCCCACTCTTCCCCCACACCTGTGCCATCTACCTTACCCCAAGCCAATCGTGCCCCTAGCTTAAATCTGCTTCATAACCAGTAGGTGCACTCCTAACCCTAAACAACCATCCTACAAGTCAGTCAGTGTTTATTGATCACGCAGAAAGCAAACAGCCTTAGTGAGAAGTCCATCACAATGTTTATCTTTATACCAGACTTTAACTGATCATGACTGTACCTTGCAGCCCCTGGATATTTTCCACATTACTTGGGACAAATGGAAAGCAACCTCTGCTCTCCATGGTCAGTTATCAAACTTAGTTATAGCATCTCTTGTGTGGAGTAGAAGGAGGTCAGGAGAAGAAGCCTACATAGATATATAAGTGTGTTCACTCAGATTACTGCATAGCATTAAAGGTTTTGATTGAAATCTAATTATAAGATACTGCTGATTACAATTACTAAAATAGCATCACAGGAGATTCAATAAAAATTGTTATGGAAACAATTTTTGAAATAGTTTAAAATGCAAGAACATTCAGGGATGTTAACAATTTAGAGATACTAATAAATGTTCTGCTAGGTAGACTATTTGAAAACTATAAATATAGTTTTAGATTAACAATGCCAAGGTACTTTTTCATATTCACATTGTAAAATACAGGGAAAACTATCAATATTTTTTCTGCATTATATGAAATTTCACAGGTAGAACTAAATCTACAATATAAAAAATAGTATATTGCACGTAGAGAAAACCAAGCCACTCAAGTCTAGATGGATATATAACATGTTAACACCTTCTCTGTTAACCAGTTATAGATAAATATATAACATGTAATGCTTTGTTAAACAATTGGAAATGTTTAGGCATTTTATTGTGTGTGGGGGTGAGTACGCACATGATCAGACTTGTATTCTAGGTTTTCAATTAAAACTCACAGAATCATTTCCTTGATAAAAATTTTATTATCCTTTCATAAGCATAAATATATATATACTTTTACAATTTAATAGTTCTGCATTTAGGAGGTATTCTATATATCAAACACATATTAAACATGTACTATGCCCAAAGTTAGAGCTTACGCTGTTATGGTTCTGGAGTGGTAGGAAGATGGATCAGGGTATGGAAATGTGGAAGTGCCTGAGGCAGAGATCCTTGCTTACAGGTTAAACAAAGCACCACTGTAGACATAGCACACATATGCAAAACAACTAAGGAAGTAGACCTCGTTAGGTTTTTGTGTAACACACACACAAAGATAAATGTAAAAATTATATAGTTGATTTATATGATTCATGTAACAAAGAGAAAAACTCTCTTAGGGACTTATCTGAAGATGAAATGGACTGCCTCAGGAAACAGTGGGCTCCCAGTAATTCAAAGGTGACATCTGCATAGGCAGGAAAGCAGTTCCTGCCAATAACAACCAGATGACTTGGAAGTAGCAGAGACTGTGCCAAAGAGCAAGAGGAAATAAGATTGCTAAAAGAGAAAGAGTCAGAGAAAGGGAGAATATTAACTCTTAGGATAAAAAGTGTATGCATGGCCGGGCGCGGTGGCTCAAGCCTGTAATCCCAGCACTTTGGGAGGCCGAGGCGGGTGGATCACGAGGTCAAGAGATCGAGACCATTCTGGTCAACATGGTG